GCCGCAGCCTGACGGCGTCAGGACTGACTCCCTTAATGGTGTACATGCTACATATCTCCAGGAATTGTTGCAGATGAGCGTTGGCATCCTCATTAGGCTTGCCACAGAACGGGCTAGCCTGGGCCAACGTGACGAGGCTGGACTTCAAGTTGAAATCCACATCTCCTATGTTGACTTGCGGCCCGACAGCCACATTGTCAGCAGTGGGAGCAGCGAACTCGTGAAGAGTCTTGCTGGCCATTGTCACGAAGGTTGGTGGTGCTGGTACGGCTGGTTTTTCTATCGGTAGAGTTTTCTGCGGAGCAACGACTCGCGGCCTGACGCTCCGGAAGAAAGCTTCTAGATTTTCTTTGAAGTTTTCTGGCAGGTTGAAACCAGTCACACACTACCCTGTTTTCACAACAAAACGTGAAAACAACCAAGGTTAGCATACAAAGGAAAATGATTACACAGAGGTAAATATAAAGTTTTAGTTCAAGTAATCTCTATTATGAATCTTCCCCAGCAACGACGCCAGAAATGCTTGTTGGTATTTCTGAACGACATTACTAGAAATATAATTCCCAGCAATGGCGCAGAAATACTTCTGGTATATTGTGGTTACAGAGTTTATCCGCAAGCGCACGGATATACCATTGTAGCATTTCACCCGAGAGTATTCCAAGGGTATCGTATTTATTTTATCTTGTGGGAAGATCATATAGAGAGAACTCAACTAATAATTTATATATTAATTGTGATAATCATATTCTAAGCAGGGGTTAAGATAATCCAAGGGTAGAGTGACACACAAGCATTACTACTCATCCTCATAATAAATAATCTAAACTAGGTGGAAAGAAAAGAGAAAGAAAATCTATTCCTATACTTCTAATATACATAGTATACATACATTCTAGTTAACTGATATACTAGCTAATACCCTCTATCCGATGCCCTCCTGGTACTTCGAGAAGCCACCCTTGACTGCTGAGTTCCTTACGACAGCCCGTCATGACCATCCAACCGGGGCTAAATATGGAGGAATACCCTCCCCAGGAAATTAACATAGGATTATATATAGGCGCGGAGGATTACCCGTACTGAGCTGTCACCATCAGCGGCCCACCTCTCATCCGTAATATATAACCCCAAATAATGATATCCCGTAATCTAGACACCACGTCTAAACTACCAGATATTACTCTAATATCATCGTCATGACATAGAGTAATTGCATATGCAAACACTATACCCTCACCAAAGCATCTCCCAGATAAGCTAGCAGTATATTCAGTATAACATGAACATAATGTAAAGTAGGTACTCATACTCGGAAAGTATTTCAATACCATAAATATATTTAGAAGAGTATTCTAATAAAAGTACAAAGCTTACAAAAGAGAAAAGGAAAGCTACTAGAGCCATACCTGAACTCTTCCGAAGGCTTCCGGACTCCTTATTCCTATTCTAATTCTATTCCACCAGCTAGATACTACTAAACTAAACTTGAGAGGAATGAGAGAGCTCTTGCTTGAGGTATTTGTGTGAAGTGAGGAGAGGAGCTCCTTAAATAGGCTGCCAATGACGATTGTGGCAGTTGGAATGGTCGGAATTGCCCTCAAATCGTCATTGGGGAGTGATCCACGCTGTCCAGCCAAAACCTGGATCTAACGGCGTCAGGGGACGTTTGGCCGAACCTAGGGCCGGCCCAACCTGGCCCATATTTGGCAGGTGGCCTCCTCTGTTGTTCTCCTCCGTAGACTTGTGTATTTTGGCCCATTGTGTCCTGTCAATTCTGAGTTCTTAGCCCATTCATACATAAGTCTATCTCTCGACATCGTCCGATTGATTTATCATCTATGTTGATATCGATTCTCCTCTAGTTTATTGTCATTCTCTGTAAAAGGTTAGTAGACCTAATACTAGTGGAATATTATTATTCTAACAAATATATGCATTGCAAGAATCACTAGTTCTCTCCTATTTTGGTAATATTTACGGTCGAAGCTGATCGATAACAACCATCAACAGTGCATCGACTAGATGCACCTAATTAGGTGTAGACCCCGACTATGTGATTAGTTGAATAAAACTAAACATATAGTCAAGGTATATTAAACATCCATCCGAGTGGTTTTATGAATTACCAAAGTAATTATATAGCTAAGCATATGCAACCTTTGATGAAACATTTAGCCGATTGCTTTAGCTTGATTATTATACCCAAAAGGCATATAAAGATCTGAGTGAAAACACTCTAAAGATCTGTCGACCAACATATGTGATAAAAAATCCGAGTAAAAACTCTTAAAGGATTTATCAAATGTTGAATAAATGATAAATGACGAGTCAAGATAGCCTAAGCTATTACTCATACCATTATCAAATTAAGCATATAACATGCTAAGAGAATGACAGCTTTAAAATGGTCATCTCAATATAATCCGAACAGCATTGCAGCCCTAAAAAGGACAGCAAAATTAGTATGACACTTTTCTGTTGGGCACCTTTTCATTTGCATCGTAGTAATTCCAAAGAATTATCTAACTGCACAGAAAGGATTTTCACGGTATTGGGCTATTTTGTCGTGAGCAATTTTCGCCAAAGCAAAAAATACGCCTAAGTCCCTAAGGATCACAACCAGCCACACCAAAATTGAAGTTGGGCTGAAAATACTGTTAAGGCCCAGGCCCACCAGTATTTCCCCATACCCTAGCGAAATAAACGCTAAAATAGAGCGCCGCTTCGTCTTCCCCGCCGCGATGTTCTCCATTTTCCCCACTCCTCACTACAGTGCCAAAACTGCACCGGCGAAAACTAGGGTTCACAAATACACATCAATCCACCCCTCCCGAGGCTTCGTGCTTTCGAAAAAATCATCCGCAAAACCACCGCATCAATCTCCCTTCCAATCTCTGCCACCGTCGCTACAGATCTCATCATCCATCTCGCATCCATGGCGGAGGAGAGAGAAAGCTTTCAAAGTCAATAGGCACCCTCCGATGTTACGGAGGAGAATTTGAAGGAAATGGTGGCGCACGGTGTTCTCCCGGCGAAGGAAATCATCGGCTGGCGTCCGGCGTACGGTGAAGCCTTCCCAACCCCTGACACACATGAGGTCGTTGTATTCTCCCACTTCTTCTATGGTGGTTTTGCTCTTCCAACTTCGAAGTTTTTTAGTGGAATTCTCGAATTCTATGAATCAGTTTGCATCATCTTGACCCCAACTCCATTGTGCATATTGTGAATTTTATTCACGTATGCGAAGCCTTCCTGGGAATCATGCCGCACTTTGCCCTATTCTGTCGCATCTTCTTCTTGAAACCCCAACTAAATATAAACAAACCATGTGTTGTTGGGGAGAAGGTTTCCAACTCCGGGGCACTTTGAGCCAAAAATACTTTTTCATGCCTTTTGAAACATCCAACAAGGGTTGGCATGCAAATTGGTTCTATGTCCAAAACCTTGAACCGGCGCTTCCCGAGTACTCATGTCTTCCCCCAAAGTATCAAGAAACATGGAATTCACTTCCAATGGGAGATGAGGCTACTCAAGCTCTCACTCTGCTGAATCGTCTGCTGAAGCTCAAGGAGCAAGGTATGCAAGGGGAGCAAATCACTCGGCATTTTATCAAAAGCCGGCTGGCGCCCATCAAAGAGAGATCTCGTACTGGCTTTGAATTTGATGGTAAAAATGATCCCAATCGTAAAGATCCTGAGTCCCTCGAATTCAAGATTAAGAAGGAGATGATGTATAAGATTTTCTCATCGGCCATTGTAGTCAGCTATTCGCATATACTGCTAGTGGTCCGATATAGTGCTTTCAACCCTTCTTCTCCGGTAAGTATTAAAAAATCTGAACTCTCTGGCGATCTTTGTTGTCTTTTGCGATTTTCATGGCTAAAAGTTAAAATGTCATCTTCAGGAATTTGCGATTTTCATGGCTAAAAGTTAAAATGTCATCTCCAGGAATTCGCTCTGATGAAGTCCAATCCATCGATCGCTCAGCGTCGTTCTCCTCGCCAGCGCCCTGGTTAGGCTAGTGGGGGTCCAAGAATTCAACAAAATACACAATCAAGCAGCCCAAAGCCGACTGACCAGACAGGCCCTAGGAAGAGGAAACTGGTTTTGAGTGACGACGAAGGTGATGATGTCGAAAAGGCCAGCAGCAAAGAGACGACTGGGAAATGGCCTAAACAGGCTAATTTGCCAAAGAAGAAAACATCCAAATGTCCAATACCCAAGATCAGAAAGTCTTCCAGGTACGAGCTTGCCGTGATCTTCTATTTATTTTTTAAACATGCATCTTCCGAAACTATATTGATAACATCTTTTTAATCTTCAGGAAGCCATCAGACATTGATCCATATGGGAAGGACTTTGATTCGGCTGTAAATTCCGAGACAGCTGCTAAAGAAGCTGGTTCTGCTACTGCTGCTAAGGCCGAACCTTCTAGAGAAGACCGCCGGAATGGTAGTTAGTCGGCAACCTGCGATGCAGAAGCCGGAAATGAGCCCCCGACTGAAAACCAGTCGGCGGACGCTGAAACCAGTGCTAACCAGGTGCCCCCGACTGGAAACCAGCTAGGTGATGAATAAAATGAAGATATCCCTAAAACGGAGGGGCAAGCTAGCAGCCCTCCCTTAAATGATATTGATGCTGGTCCAGAGGCCAGTACTTTTGACAAGGTAGAGGGGCCTGCTCGTCCACCGCCGAAGATCATAACAGGTAACTGTCGTAGGCTCTCCGGATCTTCCATTATATTTGAGAGATGAAGTGAATAATTCAAGTCATCAAACAAGCATAATGAAACATCTGACGCCTCAAGACAGGAATATTGGAGACATTGCTGGGCCCTTAGCCTGCCAGTCAACTTCAGCCTGAGATGTGCCCGTCAAACCACTCGAAGGCGGCGACCAAATGTGTTACACATTTAGCAGACTTGACAAAAATGGATAAAGATCTACAACCTCTCAAATATTCCTAACTCATACTAATGAGAATCTAGTTCCCAGAATGTGCACTAGATCCACACTTTCATCTTAAGCATGATTATACATAGCAAACACAACTAAGATGAAAGAAACTTAAGACTTACAACAACTTAATACATACATAGGCCAACTGGCCAACTTAGAATAGTCCTAGAAGAAGCAATCGGAACCCGCATCACTCAAAGACTAAGTCTAAACCTGCAAACAAAAGGTTATATCAACAGCAAGAGTCAGTACATTAAACAAGTTAATGTACTGGCAAGCACAAGTCAATCCTACCATACTACATGTAAGGCATATATTCAAAGGAAGGCAATATGTAGTTCAATTTCAGTATAAAGCAAGTTTTGTTTCGCAATTCTTTTGTAAAGGAGTTGATGCTTCAATTAACAAAAGAAATTTTAAGTTTCAATATTAAGTTCATAATAATTCCATCATAATCAATCTCTTGTTGTCATCCTTTGACAACAAGTCATAATATATCACCTCACACACACAACTCAACACATTTATCAATTTCAAACCAATGTCACATGATCACATTTTAAAACATAAAGTCTATACTCATGACACATCACCAAAACGCTCATGACCGTGAACACGGCTAATCGATTAGTTTTAAAGAACTCTGCAGAGTTTGTACAGCTTTACCCACATGATATGAACTCTCTAGTTTGTTTTGAGTTTGCAAGACTCCACCACACTCTTCATATTGAATGTGGTTTAGAGGTCATAAAGAAGCATTTACACTACTTAGAGCCTAGCCTTGCACCAGCACGATACGTGTTCCTCCAACCTAGGCATACTTGGAATATGCCTAGAACCGTTAAGTGGTGGGCCATGCCTTAAATTTAACGCCGTGGTAGCGGACACAACGGGAACCCACCCACGTGGCACAATACCGTTGTATTGGACAGACTTAGTCACCTAAACTACCACGTCGGGGCAAATAGAAAGTTCCTCTGAATCATCGACTAATTCCTTAGAATTATCGACTAACTCATACACACCGTCCTACCAGAATGCAAGGCTAGTCCTAAATAGATTAATCAGTTTAGGCCATCCCATACTAGCATCCCATACTAGCACATGTGGATGTACGAATAACTTTAAATAGGTGACACAAGTTCGGTCCTTATGGACTTGGGCAAACACTCCCCCTATCGGTATGCAACTAACAACATATGCACACCAGTTGCCGCCCAAGTAAAAAATCACATTTTACACATTTTAGTTCGCAAATACCCATCATATTCATTTTATTCCAGCAAAGGTTCAAGTATCAAAACCACATTTTAATTATATATGGAATGAGCATTTGCATATTTCTAAGCATGGCTAAGCAAGTAGTTGCACATAGAGCATATATAAACCCATTTGAGCACAAAGAGTGTACTCTAACCATTTCTAGGGGTTCAAACAGCAAGAGGATCAATTATTCAAGGTGCGATATGCAGCAAATAGGTCATAACTACCTTAACCCAATTTCAAATACCGATATAGTCTAAGTTCACATGCAACTTTGCAAACAAATATTTTCATTCCTCAAATCATAAGATTCAATGTGTTAAAAGGATGGGAGGAGAACACTTGCCTTGATCAGAGAAATGTTAGCACCTAATCTACTCCTTCACCGATTATGCAATTATCTAGATAAAGGACACGTTATGCAATTAAACACCGAAAGAGCTGAAAATCCAAAATGCTCTAAAATGCATGATTTATACACAGTGGGTTGGTACTGATCTAAAATGAATTTAGGTAAAAGAATTACTATTTTATCTTATGAATTTTAGAAGTTTTATCGGTTTATAGTAGTATAGTCTTAAGTAGTGTTATAAAATACTTTTGTAAAGTGATTTTTATTATATTATACTTCACAGGGGTGTAGAGGTGTGTTTTCTAATACTAATGCATTTGGTTTCACAATTTTTGGAGTTATAATGATTTTCTTATAGATTTACAAGTTACAACGTGTTTTAGGCATAGAGTGTTTTATATGTGCATGACTCTCAAGTTGTAGGTTCAGAACATGCTACTTCCTGTTTAAGTTGAATAAAATTAATAATTTGGTTAACTAAAACATTTTTAGTTCACATGTTTATGGTCTTTACTACTATGGTTCATATTTTAAAAACTAGAGATGCTCTAATCTAAACTAGCAATATATTATATTAACCTAGAAATTGTTATATGAGCTAAGTTCTTCTAGGTTTTAGTGGATGAGGATGGAACTATGGCTTCACTGGTCAATCAAGTTTTTATTTTGGTTTAATTAGACCTAAAGTGTATATATACTTATACATGTTTATGTATTACTTAAACAAAACAACACTGTGTTTAAATTCTTATTTCACTAAGTTAAGATTTTGATCTATGTTCCCTACAAAAGGTGCCAAATTTTATTTTTTCTATGTTGAAGCTAACAATTTGCTGGTTCTGTAGAAACTTTGTTCATTTCATTTGGACTAAAAATGAATTTTCTACAAGTTTTACAAATTAAAGGCTGCTCTATGTTAGTAAATCCTTATATGAATATTTAGAGACTTTTTACTACACAGTAAGTAGATAATCTTATTTCATAACATGGAAATACATGTTTTGGTGATCCTACAGAACTTAAGTTTACTCAAATTGAAGCTAAATTGGGTTCTACATGAATTTCTAAAGTTTAGCTTATCTAAACTAATCATTCTAGAGATAATAGTTTTAGAGGCATTTGATGCAAAGTAAGTAATTACTTTTATTTCACCTAATCAGAGAGTGCATGATGATGAATCTGTAGAATTTGATTTTGTTTCAAAATGAGTTGAGATGAATTTTCTATGTATTTTATAAGTTTGTACATGTTTTATGTATGACCTATCTTAGATAAATTTTAGAGACATTATTTGCACAGTGAGTGTCAAGTTTTATATTTCTAAAATAGAGTTCATAACTTTAAGAATCTACAGCAACTGGAATCATCTCAAAATGAGTTACATTTGATTTTATATGGATTTTACAAGTTTGGGTGTTTTCCTGTTAAACATTTAATGTTTTAGTTATTTTTCCTTTGCATTTTCAGATTTTTATACACATGGGTCCACTGATCGGTGGCTGAACCAATATACAAAAAGGTCCCTAGGCTTTATATGAACTGCATTTAGGTCCATGGGTCCACATGTAAACGACTGAAGTTTTATAGTTTGAACCCTATGTTTTTTATCATTTACAGGACAAAGTCCTCATCTTCAACCTCCAGCAGCCCGATGGACTGGGAGCTTGGCCATGGCTTTGGCGAGCTCGTCGGCGACGATTGATGGCTCGATTGGGAATGAGGTCAAAATATAAAATGAAGAGAATGCTCTCACGATTCCATTCCTCTAGTTTTCTTGGTTAGTAGACATCGGAGTAGCACCGATGGTGAGGGTGAGCGGAAGGTATACATGAGCTGTTACTGCATGTTGCCTAGGGGCTTTGATTTTGCTAGATGCATCCATGCATGTGTTTCCTAAGAGATCCAGGAGGCTCACCAAGCTGTAGGAAGAAATCGCCGAAGCTTGGATAGCAGCGGCTTCGGTTGGAACGATTCGACGGCGGCGCTCCTCCTCGGTTGAACGGCGACGGCTCGACGGGACGACGAGCTGCTAAAGGAAGGCATGCACGAGGGTTGTGAGGTCAAGGAGATGGTGTATGCGCTAGGAATCGAACAATGGCTCACCGAGGCAGCGGTAATCAACGATGACGGCGGAGGCGATCCTAGATCGGCGCTGGGAAGAAAAGATGTGTTCTCCGTGATCTTGATGTTTCCGGCTGGGGTTCTTGAGGCGTCTTGAAGAGGCGGTCGAGGCGAGATTCTTGGCACAGCGGCTTGCTTTGGGATGGACGAGAATGGCCGGACGACAACGATGTCGAAGCGGCGGCGCTCCAGTGCGTGCTCTAGGGCGTCGTTGGCGTGGTCACGTTCCGGTGGCTGTGATGCACAAAATGGGAGGTGGTCAACAGAGAAGTGGTTCGGCATTGTGTGGAGAGATGGAAACGCGAAAGAGATAGAGGTGACCTTGACTAAAAGGGAGATGGCGATGGTCGTCACCTCCATGGCCGGTGGTGAGGTCGCTGGTGATGGAGAGGCAGAGGACCTGCTCCCCTCGGCTTATTCGGCTCTGAGTGATGAGTGAGGAATGGCGACTCGGACTGGAGGAGAAGAGAGCAAGAAAATCAAAGCCCGAGGTCGTTGACACGTTGTGGCCACGCGTTGGCTTGCTTGATCTCTCCCTCTCTGTGTTCTTGGTCGGCTGATGGTGAGGCACAGAGAAAGGGCGAGCTGGAGAGGCTGCCAAGTGGGCCCAGGACGGAGTGCTCTAGGTGGAAGAGAGAGGTGTGGGTAAGATTCTGGGTGAACACGGTTTTAGACGAATTTTTAGATTATTTTCTCTCCCCTAAACTTATTGTGTGGACCAAATTAATTACTGTTGATTTTACTGGAGGTAAACGATTACACCTAGATTCCATTTTCTTTGGTTGCACTAAAAAATAATGGATAGACTGCTCACAGAAATTAAACAAATATGGGCTATTAGAAAGGTAGATTGAATTTTTAGGAAGCCTAAACAGAGGAGGAAAATTCTAGAAAAATTATATTTAGGCATGATAAATAATCTAGTATTTGAATAAATTATTTTCCATGTTCACTTATCTGCAGTTAAATGTACTTTTGGATGAAGTATGGCTTTAGCCGATTAAAATTTAATTTGATTTCTTTTAGTTTTTCTGCTTTGACACATTAATTTAATTTGTGGTATTAAACTTAGTTATTTACTTGTACCAATATTATAGTGAATTTCTTATGCTAAACATAGTTTACATAAATTTTTCCATGATTTCATGTTGCATAGATTATTTTAAAGAATTAGAATAACCTTTCTTTGTATATGTGTTCCTACTTCATAATTGCACCTAATATTATTATAGGGATTACATTAAACTTCTTTTGGGCTGAGAAAAATATATTAGAATTTAATATTAACTATAGTTTTGCTTAGTAATTTTAACCCTTTTAGTTTATGCTCATGAGACCTATTATTTAAAGCGAGACCAAAATCCAAATGCACAATGGACTCAAGCCTAGGCATGCATTATGCACATGTATGCTCAAATGCTTGATGACATTTCTAGTCTAATATTGGGAATGAAAAGGTTTGATTTTGTTCTCAAATTTTAATCATGCAATGGTTTAAGTTGGTCATCACCTAAATTAAAACGGAAATTTTTGGCTCTCAAAATTAGAAAAGTTAACATCTAACTATTTTGACAAGAAATTTTAAGTCCTAAAATTTCGGGTATGTTACAATAACAATCCTCGGATTATATTCGCATTTAGAAAGTCTTCAATTGCTTTATTGTTCTCTATATACATGTAAAGGCCCAATGATTGGCGAAGAAGAAGAAATTCTTCGGATCTGATCAGCTGAAGACTCTCGACCACCTATCTTAGTTAAATGGTGGGACGACGAGATGCAGCCACAAGGCATAGTTTAATAAACAGAAAGAAGACGAGGAAGTGTCTTTGCTAATAAGGACACTTAACCAAGACACTCGTCTTGTTAATGTAAGTACTCTACCCGCAGTTTCTCTCATCCAATTGATAGATCCACTGAAATGATTGAGTATATAATATAGAGAATTCATCTTCGAAACGAAGCAAAGACCGCAACCCTCGAGAAGCTGGTCCCTCATCTTGGAACTCTGGAAGAAACCAGAGCTAAACTCCATGAAAGCAGGGAGCTAGCTAGGAAAACAGAACATGATCTCAGGGATTGGGTTGCTGAGCTTCAAGACGCCAACTTCGAGTTGAGTGGTTCGTCAAAAGGTAACTTTATTCTTGCTCAATCCATTCTGAGTTGATGTTTGTGCTTAAATAACCATCAAATATATAATAGTCCTAGCTGCCAAGATCGCCGAATTGGAGAAGCGAATCAAAGCTCTTGAGAAAGACAAAGGTGATCTTACAAAGGAGAGAGACTTGGCTATCAAAGACGTCGAAGGTAATCTCAGTCAGAATTCCAAAAGTAAGTTTATCTTTGCATCCTGATACTAATATAATTGCTCGTGCAGATTGCAAAATTAAATCTCAGGCTCAGTTTGACGTCTTGATTAATAAGATTAAGAAGCTTGAAGGGGCGCGAGATGAAGTCGCCAATGCTGCCACTCCTTTGATCCAAGCCATGTTTTATAATAACAATGGTCCAAGTACAGTTGAAGCAGTTGAAGTCTTCGACAAATTAAGAGCTGCACCGGACATGTACTTTAAGAACATCAAGGAGGCTGGGAGCATGGGAGCAAGCATGGCACTGGCGATGACCAAATCCTTGTATCTGAAGATCGATATTGATGCCATTGACGGCTTCGCAAACGGAACAAGTGAAGAGGATGCCCTTAACCTCATCAATGATGCCCAGAAGGTCGCTGACAAGATTGCTGCAGATATCGTAGAAAGATTTCAAGATAACAATCTTGGTCCGACTAGGTCTCATGAATCTGATGATGAAAAAACTGAGTCTGACTAATTTCACATGATGTAATCTTTGATGATGGAGCCTCAATTTGTACAATACTGGTATATTTATGCTGTGTTTGATAATTTAAATTTAGTTGCTGATTTCTTACAAGTTTTTGTCGAACCTTATTGAGCCTAGAACCCGCAAAAATTGTCAAAAAACTCTCAGTCCTCATTAACTAAGCCAAAAAATTAAACAAGGCAATGATAAATCAAGTAAGCAAATTGAATTGATAAAAATCACACTCCATTATTATTATGGTAGCCCCTGACTGGTAACTCAAGAAATAACTTGATGTTGGCAGTCAAAGAGGGAAAAAGTATACAAAAGTAATGCCAAAGCATAAAAATGACGAAGCTGCTCAATGTTCCAAGAATTGTTAACGTCTGAACCATCTTCACGCTTGAGTCGATAAGAGCCTGGCCGAGTAACTTCAGAGATTATAAATGGTCCTTCCCATAAGGGGGATAACTTATGAGATCTCGTGTAGATTGAATCTTCCTCAAGACCATGTCTCCGACTAAAAATGCACGTGATCGAACATTGCGATTGTGATAGCACCGCAATCCTTGTAAATACCGAGCCGACTGAATTAAGGCTACCTCGCGAGCTTCCTCCAATCGGTTGAGATCATCCACTCGGTCTTCTCCGTAGCACTCCTCTTTGAAATTACGAAAGCATAAGGATTCAAATTCTACCTCACTCGGCAACATTGCTTCCGCACCATAAACTAAGAAGAACGACGATTGCCCCGTAGCCTAACTGGGTGTAGTGCGCAGAGACCAAAGTACTGACGGCAGCTGATCAACCCACTTGCCGGCATATGGACGCAGTCGGTCAAAAACCCGTGCTTTGATGCCTTGAAGTACCATACCATTGGCACGTTCAACCTGTCCATTGCTCATAGGAGGTGCTACGGATGCGTAACAAATCTTGATACCAAAGTCTTCACAAAAATCTTTAAACACACCACTAGTGAATTGGGTTCCATTGTCTGTAATGATACGATTAGGCACCCCAAACTGGTGAACGATGTTTATGAAAAAATCTCGAGCTTTGTCAGCAGTAATTGTGACGACTGGTTTAGCTTAAATCCACTAGGAAAATTTATCCACAGTTACAAAAAGGTGAGTGAAACCGCTGGTGGCCTTTTTGAAAGGACCAACCATATCAAGCCCCCAAACCGCAAAAGGCCAGGAAAGAGGGATAGCTTTCAACTCCTGAGCTGGTAAATGAATCTATCTGGCAAAGAATTGACAACCTTCACATGTTCGCACAACTTTCTCGGCATCAGATACTGCAGTGGGTCAGAAAAAACCCTATCGATAAGCTTTGCCAACAATTGTTCGCGTGGCAGCATGGTTTCCACAAATGCCAGAATGTATGTCCTGCAGCAATTGTCTTCCTTCTTCCAAAGAAACACAACGTTGTAGAATCCCTGACGGACTTTTCTTGTACAATTCAACCTCAATCATGACATAAAGCTTGCTGCGTCGAGAAATCCGCTCGGCCTCATCTTTATCTTGAGGTAACTCTTGCTTAGTCAGAAATTTGATGAAAGTGTTAACGACCAAATTTGGTAATCGTCATCGGAGATGGAGATTAGACTGAAGCGGAATCCGAAACAGAGATCGTCCTGGAAACAGAGCGGGAATCGGCTAAGTCCGAATCGGCTGCAGCTTTAATTAGCAGAGTCCGAGTCGAACAAAGTTAGCCGATTGAGCCGAATCCGACAATGCGACACGGCATACGTTGTCGGGTTGAGTTAATGTACATCATGAGGATTGCCACGCACGGATTGAGTCCTGAGGTGGCAATTGTATCTATTAATTTGGATATTTCATGTAATTTCCTTAGAGATATGTTTGGACAAAAGTCTGCCGCAAAGACTTATGGTATCTTAGAGTTTGTTAGAGATAAGAGTCATGTCCGACACAGACTTGTTTTGTAATCTCGGGTATAAATAGACCCCGAGCCCCATGTAATCAATCTAACGCACGTTCAATACAATCTCGGCGCATCGCCACCCTTTACTTTCGTTTTGTTTCGATGAGTTCTTGCTTTCGGGTTGAGCTGCATCAGTTTCGATCTTCAACTGGAGGTAAAACTTGTTAGGGCGGCTTGCGTTCTCGGGATTAGTGCTTCCATCTTTATGATACTCTAATCTTGTTTATGTAATTCGTCGAGTTATCATATATCCTACATAATCTTCGACAATATCGCTATCTAACCTCCAATCGGCTAACGTCTGTTACTAGAAGCTAGCCGATCAGGTTAAATACCGACGTTGACTTAGATTATATAGGATATCTACCACTCTATGAAACATCCAACGGCTTGATTGTCTAGATATTGTCCTTCTTTTCATACTTATAGCTGCATCAGTTCAGTTTGATCTTATAAGTCATGATTAGAATCTCAATCTCTAGCCCGCTTTTGGTTGCCGATTAGGGTAGCATCGGGTTTTCAGCCGATCTTAACTGATTTAACTACTTCTATCTTATATGCTTGATTGACATGTTAAATCTTCCCTTTATATTAAGATCTTGTTGCATTTAAGTATATTAAGCTGTTGTTTGGTACATTCTACTTGCTTTGATATCTTAATATAGAGTAGTATCGGAGTATTACCCGATACATGCTAAATCTATATGATCGGCTATGCTATGAACATATATAGTCTTG